CTTGGCGTCGGGGGTCCAAATTCACAGCCCCCGACGCGCAACAGGTTGGCCACAAGGGGCAAAACCCAAAAGGGTTAGGGACAGTGAGCCGGCAGGATCGTTAGGATGAGTCTGATGAATGTTAACGAGCCTGTGGGATGTCAAAGGTCAAACGGGGGGGGGGCTCCCCCAATAAGAGACCCCATGAAAGCAGCACGCGAACATTATCACGATGACACCATCCACCAAACATGGAAAACGGAACTCAGCTTTCAGAGACACCTACAAAGATTTATCGTTGGCTGAGGAAATTATTTCTCATGTTCAAAACTGGTTCTTGTATGATATATAGGAGTACACTTTATATATTTTGTAATATAAGATACCAGACACAAAGATACTTCCTGTAATATGACCTAAGTGATTACAGTTTACATGGATGACTAATGTTCATTTACGCTCCTGTATATAAGCTCCCATTTATAATTCCAATTACCTGATTAACTAATAAATCTAATATACTTGACATTTAATGCATTTGACATTCAAATCCTTTTTAACTGGAAGATTTAGAGCTGACTGTATATGAAGAGATACTCCAGCCTAACTCATCAATCAGGCCTTGGACTTTAATAGCGCTATTAATTCCTAATGGTATAAAACAAATTAATGCTCATTAAAGGCTTAACAATCCGACAGCTGAGTGACACAAACACTCAACGCAATAGCCAGGTTCACGCCATCTTGCCACCACTCTGCGGAGTCTGCATCCCTTGTACTACTAGGAGAAGGTGGGTTTGACTGGTCCCACGCTGGTGGCAGAATCAGGGAAGCAGGTCTTAGACCAGTGTCTCTCAACCCAGTACTCGAGGACCCCTAGACGGTCCACAGTTTTGCTCCTTCCCAGCTGCCAGCACACCAGACCCACACAATAAAGCAATCAAGAATACCTGCTACAATACCTGCTACAATACCTGCTACAGGTGTGTTGAGAGCTGGGAGAGAGCAAAAATGTGGACTGTCTGGGGGTCCCTGAGGACTGGGTTGGGAAACACTGTTTTAGACGAAAGAGTATCAGATTCACATCATAAGGAGGAAATGGCTACATACTGAACAGCAGGAGGCACTAAAACAAACTGCCACAGTTGGCTTTAAATAAAAGCATCTGCTAATTATTTAACAAGGGGAACCCCTGCAAGAAATTTTGGTTTCCCTGCTCCTTAAATCAAGCCATCTATTTCTGACATGACCGAGCCCCCCCTCCAAAGTAGGCCCAAGTCACTGGCGTTGGGTGGTTCGGAAACCCCAGCGTACGGAGCTTTGTCGTCCCCGGAGACGGCTCACCGCTGCCTCGGCAGAAGGAACAGCTACATAATTTTTTTTCCCCCTACGACAGAATTTATGCCTCTACTCATCAACATTTTTTTTTTTTTTAAACCTTCCTTTGACGGCCTTTTGAGTATAAGATGTTTACCGCGAGGTTTATGAATAGGGACGCGGGTGGGGGGGGGGGGGGGGAAACAATTAAAAAGAATCAGATACATATTGTTTTCTTAAAACGGATCCACAATGAGAGACATGATTATACTTCGAACGGCGAGAAGTCTGAACAGAAGAGACAAATCAATACTGGTGGGTGTAAGTAGTAATTTTAGGGGCTCTGAAAAGGAGAAGCACAATTTCTGTCATTGTGAAGTTTGATTGCATGGGGGGGTGATGGAGAAAAAAAAAAAACCCAATCGGTTAGGGAATTCAAGGCTCATGCCACCAGCCGGGGAGAGAGAAACTACAGCTTTAAATCAGCAAAGATGACATGAATGGAGGAATTAAGTAAAGGTGGTGTGGAGCTCCGTCCTCTGCAGGCGGGCGGCCATGATTATCGTCTCGCTCATATCGCGTCGGAGTTCTCACAGAAAGAGCCCCGAGGGACGTCTGATGCCACAGGTTCCCAGAATTTCAGTGGCTTGGCTCTGTGTGCAGGCAGTGACTCCCTCCCTCCCTCCCTCGCTTCTAGCCGTATCCGGAAACCATGGGGGGGCGGGGGGGGCGGAGCCAAAGGAACAGGAGAAACACCACAAAGTCAGCCTAGCTAACCGAGCAGCAGCATAGCCGAATCCATCACGTTCCATCCACCTTCGAGCTACTTTATTGCATCCAAGTTGAGGATGACGGGATGGTTTCTCATCATTAATGAACTGGCAGGTTTCGCTTATAATAAACACTTCGGTCAAATGCTTAAACACACAACGGCGACATTATCCCTCTCGCTTTAGCCTGGGAGTGACACGTGACATCTATTTGGCTGTTTATGGGGGTTGGGATTCTCTCTCATGTGTAAACTGGCCAATGAACTCATGGATGTCATTAAGTGGCTTTCCCATCGTTGCCAACGTCACCAGCTAGCGTTGCTGATCAATTCCCCGAGTCGATTGCCAAGAAGGAGGTTGGTCTGTGCATTTGTGTGCTTCACTATACTACCTCTAGGGGGCAGTGTGTACCTCAGCGGGTTAGGGCACTGTGGCTGTGAACACAAGGTCACTATTTGAACCCCAGGGGCAGCAGAGTGATTCCACTGTGGGGCATTTGAATGATTAAACCCCCAATTATTCCAGGGTCTCGTAAATATGGTTAAATGCATTTTCATCAGTAAGGAACTCTGGATGGAACCCTGTGCCCATGGTTTAAGTCACTTCCTCTACAATTCACAACAAAGTCACACCAACAGACTCTGATCGGGGTGGACATAAATGTGCCAAGCCGCCCCCCAAACACTTACGGTAAATCTGGACCACTGTAGTTTGGGCCTCGGGTAGATTAAAGACTTGCCTTATCCAATCATAGCCACACTGCACAGCCAACCTTATTTACAGATTCAACCATCACAAAGAGTCTACCAGCCCCACCAGATACTGGGAAATGGGAAACAGGACACCCAGCCCAGCTTGTACTGGTGGTGTAATGAGCTATGGGCTGTCTGTCTCAACAAGAACCCTTCGCGACTGAAAGCTGGTGAGCCATGCGTAAAAACAAAACACTGGGACATATTCCCAAATGCATACTTCAAGCTCAGAGTGCATCAACAATGATTCCCAAAACACCACTTTCCAAGAGAAGAGACTGTCTCATGTGCTTGTTGTGACTCATGGCTCTCGTCTACATCACACTCATGCTGTCACAAAGGAACGAAGAAATCAAGATACATTTTTCCCCCTTAATGACAAGCTCTTCTGTGCCTCTAACCTTTTCTTACCTTTCCGTTTCGCCTAAAGAGATCAAGCGCCAGCGATTCCATTTGCCAGTTGCTAGGGAAACCGGTCTCATCTACAAGCTTCCGTTTGCACCATTACTGATGCGGCTCTTCAGAAGAGCCGGTTTTAGGAAAACTAATTCATCAATACAAGTAATTAAGGATGGCAGATCCTGTAATTCGGAGAACGTGAGTTCAAACAAAGTCGGGAGAATAATTCTGTCTTTTTCCCGAATTTTAAAAAAAAAATTTTTTAAAGGTCTCTCACCTACTCTTTCTACACGACTGCAAATGAAGACTCCAACAAACCTAATTGGCCAGATTCTAATTATAAACCAGTGACGACTCATTGAAATGCGTTGGAGTCGTCTGTTGTCCCGAGTGACGGCAAAAATAAAACAAGCCTAATTGAAAATAACTGCGGAGAACATCTTGAACCACAGCAGAAGGAAACAGGTACACAACGTTACTCACAGGTCTGCAGTGTCTCAAAGTCACTGGCACACATGGCTTGTCCTTCACAGGTCTGCCCAGACAGTGCATCAACGTCACTGGCTCACACAGCTTGTCCTTCACAGGTCTGTCCAGACAGTGCCTCAACGTCACTGGCTCACACGGCTTGTCCTTCACAGGTCTGCCCAGACAGTTCCTCAATGTCACTGGCTCACACAGCTTGTCCTTCACAGGTCTGCCCAGACAGTTCCTCAATGTCACTGGCTCACACAGCTTGTCCTTCACAGGTCTGCCCAGACAGTGCATCAACGTCACTGGCTCACACAGCTTGTCCTGCTGTCCTTACACACCATCCTTAGCCTGAAACGCCGTGAGGAACCTACAAAACATCAACATCATTGTCACAAACACCTATGAAAATTTGCATGGGAATCGTATACATTGGGCCTATAGCTAATTGCTAGCTAATACAACAGAATCATTCTCACAAACTTCAGAACTTTTCGGGAAAAATTAAAAAAAAAACTTTACAATGAAATACAGCGTTTGTTTTTGTGTACAGCAACTCACACCACGTTAGGTGGGCCTATATTGAAATTATGTCATTTGTTGCTCTAATTTAACCATTTTCCCTAAATTGGTAGCCAGAAATCACATTACCACAGCAGTTTTAAGTTTATAAATTGTTTTTAAATCTTTCAACTTTATTGCATGTCACACACACTAAATCATTTTGTAGGAGAGGATATATATTTTTGCTCAATTTTCCTCTTAGTTTTGTCATTTTTTCCTATCGCGATTAATCTTACCCTGGCCTGACAGGGCGTGGGGCAGGTATACAAAGGTGACAATCCACTTTCAGTTCCGAGAATTGGGGAATATTAGCAAAACGGATCACACTAACCAAAACAACAAAGTCCGAGAACAGGCAAGGAGACAGAACTTTCAACACACAATAATATAACTGACACAGCGACTGACTGAAGAACTGAGCAGGGACAGGCACTAGGCTAACAAGAGGGGTCAGGTGTGGAAAATCAGACAATCAACCAAACACAGAGGGTGCGGGACAACAAGCAACAGATGGAACAATTAACAAGCTCTGAACCTAGAAAACACAAACCGCAAACTGGGCAGGCTACACTAAGATGATAAGAAGGAACAAAAATATAAACAGGACTAGAAGAAACCAGTGGCCGGTGGCCTATACTACGAAGCGGGGTTACTGGATTATCAGGGTAACTTGTCGGATTTAAGGTAGTCTGGGCAAAATGTAAATGAACGAATATGAGGTCCATTTAAACGGTGCTACCTTAAATCCGACAAGTTACCCCGATAAGCCAGTAAGCCCGTTTCGTAGTACTGGCCCCAGGACAGGGAAACAAAAGGAAAATAAACTCTAGGGAAACAGAAAACCAGTAAATACAAAATAAGGGATGAGGCTGGCCTCAAACCCATGACCAGGGTGGCAACAGTCTTTAAGCTACACACTCAACCCTCGGAGCTATGCAGCGGTTTGGGAACAAAGGGAAACACACCAGGCACATTGGGGCTGAAGGGCAAGAGACAGGGAGGAGGACAGGATGGCCAGCGACACCTGCTGGCCAAATGGGGAGAAGACACAAAGGGCAGGTCAGACAGGCCCTGACCCTAACAGGACTCACCCATCCATCCATTTTCTGTAACCGATTATCCAATCAAGGTTTGGGAGGGGGGGTCTGGAGCCTATCTTGAAGGCCATGGGTGCAAGGCAGGGAACAACCCAGGATGGGGCGCCAGCCCATTGCAGGACCCACTCACACACCTTTCACTTACACATGCACACCCTGGATTCAATTAAATACTTTTGTTTATTACAGAAATAAATGGTAATATAATCAAACTGATTAATTACCCCAGAGGCAAAACTGCCAGTTTACTTAATGAAGTTATATTATTTGAGTTCGTCTTCAAATTAATTGTAAGAATTTAGAGAAAAATGATGCGGTACAGTAGTAGTTATCTCGGGAGAATGCCTGACTTGTGCTGCAGCCGTGAAGTCGCTAGGAGAGGATTAGCATCTTTTCCCATCAAGGTTACCTCAAAACCTGAAGTCACACTTGCTCTGAATACATATGGACATATTCCTAAGCGCATGCCGGCTTGCAGCAATAAGTCAAACCCTTTGGGTGTCCCGTACATCACACTGAGGAGTCGGTCTCATTCACGGAGTGACTCATTGTTTAGCCAGACCACACAATATGTCATCGAGTGTAAGAAACACTTCTCAAAGTCAAACCATAGGATAGGTCTGTATTTTTTCATGTCAGCACTATTAACGTCCTGGAGAAAGGTGGTCGATCATTTCTGTCTCGCGTTCATGGTATCGCTTGCTCCTGACTCAGGGGAAAAAAAGAAATCTACAGGTACCTTACACTTTGCACTTTCACTTGATATAGATGTGCAGACACCTGCAATAAAACAGTCTGCTCTGGGACTGCAGTCATTATGAATGTACAAAGCAAAACGACAGGTCGTAATTCTGTATTTATTGCGGATTCCATCAATTTTCCTCAAAACCAGAAATATATCTGTCACATTGCAAGTTCCGTTTATAAACTGTCCTATGACGTATGAGGCCCGACTGAGCGTGAAGTATTACATAGCCTTAAGGATTATAAGAGAAAGGCAGTTTTCTTCTTCGCAAAGACAACTGATGTCTGTTCATAGTTTCATGGATTATACGTTCAAGTTGCTAAGATAAAACAAGTGCGTGTTTATCTTGCGTGGATACTCTCATAAAATTGCATGTAAGAATGAAATGTCCGTCTAGGATTGCAGACCAGTTTTCGTTTTAAATCATGATGTCCTCTTGGAAGGTCAAAATTCAATAAAAAATTAAAGATCAGGATATGCATTCTGCAAAACGATACTTAATAGATAGTCTGGAATGTGGTTTTAAAAAAGGGGTCAGAGGGGGGCAAGCGATATAAATGTATTTGTAATAAACCAAATTATTTCCCCCATAACACTGGAGCTATCAGGACCTTTCGCTCACCTGCAGCATTTAAAGTCTTGTCCCGACTGGCAAACGCATGCGCAGTAGTGAAGCGTATTAAGATAAGGCGTCCGCTCCGGAGATTTGGGGGCGGAAGGTTTAGCGTCCGTCCGCGGCTTCAGCCAGGCGGCCTGAATAATTACTGCCGGTATCTGCAAGCGCCGAGTCAGCACTCTCGCCCCAAAGTCCTCTCCTCTCGGCCAGCCGGAGATTTTCGTGACAGGAGAGCGGGCTTTGATGCGTGGAGGAGGGAGGTCAAGTGCCCGTCACCCATCTCAGTACGGGAATGAAATGACAGCAGCGACCGGCTCAAGGACAGAGGAACTCGGGCTGTAATAAAAACAGCGCAAAGGCGAGACCATATTTTGTTTAAGGGCGTTTTAGCTGTTAGTCCAACTGATACAGGTAATAAAAGAAAAAAGGTACAAAAGTTTAAAGCGATGACAATAACAGCATTTACACCACTATAGGCTACCCGTGGTTTACTATTGCCCAATGAGGGAAGTATATGTAGCCTACATATTTGAGAGAAACCAGCAATATGGATGGTTTGAAGGTAAAACGAACAAATAAGCAAACAAATAAAAATAACAAGGCATTACGTCAACGGGAAGGTACATTTCTAGCAGTGGTAGGTGTGGCAGGGGGTGGTTACACTTAGGACTGCCATCTCTCACGCATGCGACGCCACGAACACTTTCACGCTCACGCAATAAACCTTTGGCAAATCTGTATTATTCCACTGTAAACCTAAAAATTAGCTACATCAAAAGCATTGGGGTAGTCTATAAACCCTACAGACTATTTACAATGAAATAAAAATGTTACATAGGCCTACATGTAAATGCGTGTGCAGACTTGTCACTCCAGCCATCTGACCAAAGTTGGTGACACTGCTTTAATTTCCTTTTTCTGGTTTTATTTTGTCACCTCAGCTAACAAATAGTGAACGACATGGCGCAGGCGTGCATCACGGTCTGCGCTGCAAGATTCAGCTTGCATTTGGTGCGAGGTCATTATAAGGTGATGCCATCCAAGAGCTCTGCGTGGCCGGAAGAACCCTTAACACCAACGAGAATACCAGCGGAGGGAATCCAGGCAAACAAATTGATCTAAAAAAAAAAAACCCTATACACACGTAAATAATTTCCCTTGGTAGTCCATCCTCCAGCGCGTGACAGCTGTTAAGCAACGGGTGATGGGGTGTGCGACCCCTGGCGGACGCCGCGTGCCATCGCCATCCGACTCCAAATCCGGTTGCATCTCCCTGCAGCATATAAACGTGTCCATTCATTAATGTGTTGGCGATCTGAAATGTGTCAGCACGTCCCCGTCACCGTGGAGATGTCGGGCGTTTAATGCAGGAGGGCGCTCATTCCCAGGCTGGTCTGGGAAGGGATGATTGACAGATGGAGAGCCCCCTTGTGTATAGTCAGCCCCAGACTGACTTATCGGGGATTGAGCTATCCATTTCGGTCCAGTGAAGGCGTTTTCAAGCAGTGTGATGGGGGAAAAGAAAGGAGAAATTACCTCGGCGCTAGTAATTCTCCATCTATATCCAATTTAGGCACACGGGACTGATTATTTTTCTTATTTGACATAAAGAGAAATAAAAACACTTTAAAGATTACTCTGAAAACAAAACCAGAAGACAGTGGAAAAAGTAACATTCACATTAAAAAAAGTAAAGCCTGTCAATCTGAAGGGGGCATTTCTGCAAGTTAGATTTTACTGACTGTACTTATGATGATTCCGACAGCACGCAATGTGATAGGAATTTATAAGACATCACAGCGCACATCTTAGGTTTTGCTGAAGAGTCAGCTGCGTATCTAGAAATTCTGGGCCCCCCTGACAAAACGTCACCTTGTCCACCCACCCATTTTTACGTATAACGACAGGGGACACCGACGTTATTGCGGCTATGGAGCCGAACACTTAGGAGTTGCACACCGCCAGAGGAGGCGCGATCGATGGATGGGATCCAAGAAAAACTGACTGATTTTACGAAAAAGTCCTCCAAAAACTAAACAGAGAATGCACAGAAAAAAAACAGGCATGCAAACAATTTTACATAGATGAATTCGTTCATGTCAATACGATTAGGCCTACTATAAAATAGCGTATGGAAAATAACCGTCACAAGTTTGTACAATTTTTTATTAACTATTACATAGTTAACAGTGATTCGTACTAACACTCGCAGGGGAGATAATTACGAGTGTACTGCTTTTTATTAATTATATTTCACAGAATTAGCTTGACCCTGGAATTAAGACACGACAGAGTCTGTTTACCTGCACCCCTTACTGCTTCTTATTGGGCGCGACGTTCGTCTGATCATGCCCATAAATAATAAGAAAGGAACAGGGGAATATTTCAGGTGTCTATTTTTAATGCTTCCAGGAGCTTCAAATAACGAGGGCACATAATTAATTTATTTAAATGATCCTGGATCCACCTACTCCAGTGATTTCAAAGGAGTGAGGGACGTCGAGCCTCGTTCTGGTTGATGATTTCATGCCGCCGGTGGTAGGTTAACAGATTGAGTACCGTCAAAACAAACGCAAAATTATAGCTGCTGTGGATTGTTATGCAGTACTGCATTCACATGTCACGGAAAAGTACGAATGACACCAATGGAAAAGTAGCACACACATTTTACCCTGCGGTGATACTGACCGAAACACGATGTCAAGTGTTTGGAGATCTTAAGAAGATTGAAAAGCTAAAATGTATTCATATGCATCTCTCGCCAGTAGATGGCGTTGTCCACCAGTTCACCGTAAATTATTTTCCAGAATTTGCGGTGGCGTCTGTTTTTTACTCGAAGAAAGTACGGAATACAACTTGTCCTTCACCGTAATCTTTATGTGGGTTCTTTATATGTTTATCAGTTATCATGATAGATCTTCTTTGTGCAGATTATACGCACACACACATATAATAGATCTTCTTTGTGCAGATTATACACACACACATGCATCATAGATCTTCTTTGTGCAGATTACACACATACACACACAAACATAAGATGGCGGGGCCTGAAACAGAAACTAAACATTCACTCCAGTGAATATGGCTGCAGTGGCAGTGGTGACCTGATGGTTAAGGCAGTGCCCTTATAATCGATAGATTGCTGGTTTAAATCCCTGACCAGCAAAGTACCACTGAGGTACCTTGACCAAGGTACCACCGCCATGCACTGCCCCCCGGGTGCTGAATTACCCCCCCCCTGCTATGTCACAATGTGACAAATGGGTTGAATGCAGATGACACATTTCAATTTTGTGTATCAACAATGACAACTAATCACTTCCTCCTTCCAGTGCCCTACTGCTCAACCATCACCTTTAAAATAATAAAAGAAACAGACAAACCCTTTCAGCATTTACTCATGGACTCCTTCTGTAGCATCAGTCCAATTATGGATTTTTATCTCGGTCACATCTGACTGCATATAAGAAAGAAGGGAACACACTGAAGGCAGTGAGGAGGTGGTGCAGTGAGAGGAGCCCGGTGCAGTGAGTACTGCACTGGGCTCCACTCGGTCACAACACATGCCTTTCTGGGGGAGGATCTAAGATCTTCTCAGCATCTACTGGAAGAGCAGAATCCCTCCTGAAATTTTCACCAGCGGCTGCTCCGTAAGTTTAGCTTATCTGTTTCACTCTGCTCCACTGCATCTCCTGTTAGAAACAGCTGGCCCACAGCTGGGGGGTACACCTGTAGAATTTGAGTTTGACATCAGGGATGTTCTTGTTTGTAGGAAGTTTTGTTCTTGTGATCCCCCATAACACAGTGGTCAATGCGGCATGTTGGATTTGTGTTAATGATGGAATTTGACGCTTAGGGTAAAAACAATTAGGGAACCATGATCGATACTTTGTTGCCAGTGGCCAATCCCCATCAGCTGCAGTGACCAAGTGACCAGATACAAAATAACAGAAGTATATCACCATGTGTTATTTACTGTCTGCAATGAGAATTCTCACTTATTACATACCTACTGATTCTGTTTTTAATGTCTCACATATCTCTGTGTTTTACTTAGTTTTTAATTTTAGATTGATATGTCACAGTGACATCCACCATGCAAAATTTTAACTAAATGAGCGTGTTACACTGTGTGTACAAAGACACGGCCCACTTCCGCTCCCAATTGGTCAGTGTCTGACGCCAAGCCGACATCTGGCCAATGAGGACGCCCCTCTCTCTTGCTCTGCCTGGGCCACTCAGGAAAACTATGTCAGCTGCTGACATCTTCGAAGTCAATAACAACAACAACAAAAAAAACTCACTCACCGCTCAGAAGAGTTTGTTCTATTCTGTCGTGTGAGAAGAAAAACAGGAAACAGAGGCCCACGTAAGGCATACTTATAATAAACAAACTGGCAGATGAGTGACAGGGCAGAGACCCCGCCCACTTTCCAGTGGCAACCACACCCACTGTCCCCTTTTCATTACATATGTAATAATGTGTGAATCACCCTGGCTGTGAGTGAATTTGCTTGGTCTCGGATGACATTTTTACTTACCTTTTTCTGGTAGATCCATCCATCTTCTAACTGCTCATCTTGGCCTGCAGCCTATTCCAGGCAGGTTAGCAAAATTGCCAACTGCATGCTTGTAATTTGAGCTGCATGAGGACACTGGAGTACCTGTGTGACGAAAGGGAGAACATGCAAACACACACACACACACGCACACACAGCAGGGGTGGGACTGGAACCCGCAATTCCTGCAGGTGTCAGACTCCAGCACTGAGGCGCGCCGCTAGGATGTGCCTCTGACATGTAAGCTTTTAATTTTTCTTCTACAAAACAGACACTGATGCATTGATTTGGTTGCCTTTGTTGACTGACATCAAAGTTGGGCAAGATCTCTAAGGACATGAATTTGGGTCCCAAATATTCTGCTTCCGCATTCAAGGTCAAACTGCCAGACAGCAACTCAATACAGCTGGGAAAAGGTTACTGCTGATTAATGCCGTCCAAATTGATGCGTGAGAGGCTTTCCGGATCACGCGGGGGCCATTTATCTGTGCTGGTATCCTCGAAATGCCTATTTCTGCTGTCTGTCATATACATACCTGAGAGACTGAAGTCTCAGAAATACTTACAGCCACGGTAGCTGTTCATATCTATCCCATTGTGTTTCGCCTTTATGTAATATCTTGGTCGAACATGGCTATATGTATGCAACAAGATGCGCATCAGTAATCAAACTACAAATATAACCAAGACCCATAAATCACAATGATAAAATTATAACATATTTATAGATATAAAAAATACACGTTTTTATAAAGCCAACATATACTTTATTAATTTCATATACAAAAAAAAGACAAACATACAAACAGGTGCTTATGTGAAATTGGCTTCACAGGGATTTAAATGTGGCGGCCGCTCCTCTCAAAGTCTGACCCGAAATCACCTTCTCCAGACCCCCCAGAGCTTCAACTTCGGCAAAGAATTGCCTTCTGGGAGTTATTCCCCATACGTCCACCAGAGGGCGGGGTCGAGTTAGATTCACTCCTACGATCTTCACGTGTTTTTTGCGCTTTACTGTCCTTCCATTTCCTGCCATCTGTTTTCCCTCACGTCTCATTTCACTGCCGATTCCTAGAATACCCCACAACTCTTTTCAGTGCCAAAAACATTCACAGCTAGTAATCAAACATTTACAAACAGTCCACGTTCCTCCATCTTGGATCAATAAGCTGAGCGATTATGTCACACTCTAACACTGTTATTCTTCAAAAATACTCTATAGACTCTGCGTGGTGATAGCCATATTCAACACTGATGTGTGTTGGGGGGGGGGAAGGGTGAAAATAAGACAAAGAATAACAAAAGCTTCTTTTCTGTTTCTCTCTGATAAACCACGCCCCTTTGCAGCACTTCATAGTCCTAAGTAGGTCATACTGAAGCAATTATTCTTTAGAAATGCTTAATGACTGTATTCTGTTACAAGCTTTGGGTTCAATGATCACTAGCACAGCAATGTACACATAGAACAGAAAGACGCAAAGTTTTTTTTGATGCAGGGAGCCATTTTACATTTGATTTAGCAGATAAACGTTTTCCCCATAACAGGCCCTTGCAGCTTACAGCAACGATTACAGAAGCTGCGATTCAGCTGGATAATTACAGACTGGCGACAAGTTAACTGAATCGAGAGTTTCCGTTGGGCAGCTTTCGCTTGACGGACAGTCTCGGTCCACCAATCAGAACACTTTGTCCACCCCCTTCCGGCTTCACTATTCAGGACACCAACAGCCAGCAGGGACACCATGATACTGTTGAACAAGAATCGGTTTATACGAAAACAACAGGGGAGCAAAATTAGCCTTAAATGCAAGACGCAGTTAAAAAAAAACATCCTGGGTGGAGATTTAATGGTACATATTCAAAAATGAAAAGAAATGCACTATTGAAATCGTATGGCCACTATACTCATCTCACGCAACATGCTGATAGAGGGACACGGACACATTAATAAAGTATCTCTGGCTCTTTACTCCTGTTTCAAGGGCTCTGGAGTCAGACTTACACTCCTGCGCCTCCACTTTGCCGCCTTAAGAACTCGAGCCCAAACAGCCTGGACTCCAAACTTGGAATTTCACGACTATTTGACTATTAAAACTAAAAAAGCAAACATATACACAATAACTGAGTGAGGGTACAAAAAAAAACAAAAACTTCCACTGGAGAACTCAGCATATTGTGTCACGGTTGGGGAACTTTGGTCTCGAGGGTGATCTGTTCGTCCACGGCTTACTAGGCGAGGAACCTCTGGGAGTCGCAGCTCCTCAGGCTCCTGGCTTTAGTCTCTACCTTTTGCCCCAGAGGTACCACTATGAGGGCAAGGCTCCGAACAAGAAGTGGAATTAAAAATGCAAATACAGCGAAACGGTAACACTGGGTGGGGGGAGAAAAACTGAGATGTTCTGTAGCACGTGTGCATTCTGGATAGGACGAAAGTGAAAAGCGTAAAGGCAGAGAAACCGTGCAGTGTCTGCAGAGCACAGTGTATCCCGTGCAGGTGTGGATACACCGTGATACGTTAAAATGGAATGTCAGAGTGGGTCGCTGAGGAGGTCCGGTCCGGTCCGGTCCGGCTTGGGGAGAGTCTCTCCCAAGAGTGGGGCACAGCACTGGTCGAGGGAGGGGTGGGTTGCTTGTGTCTGGGGTCTGCTGCGCTCAGCACAGCCCTGCAGCATCTCCAGCGTTTCAAAATTTTAAAAATGCAGGGAGGGGGAGGGGGGAGGGAACAACCAGGCGTGAGGCGGCTATCCGTCCATCAGCGCCGCGCCTCCGGGCCGCCCGCGCTTCCCGTCGCTACTCCGGCTGCTCGTTTAGTTCCATGTCGGACACCAGGATGTTCTTCTCGGCCTGCCCCGCCGGGCTGGTGCTGGTGCGGCTGTAGCGCGCCCCCTCGTAGGAGCCGCGGGAGATGGCCGCCCGCTGGCGGTACAAGTAGCCGGCGATCGCCAGCAGCAGCACCAGCACCAGGGCCGTCACCAGGACCAGCACCAGCGTGGGGAGGTGCCCAGAATCCGCTGTTCCCGCGAGGGGCGCGTCGGGGGAGGCGCAGGGAGTGGAAGAAAGTGTTAGAGAGCCAAATTCGGAGGACGGCTTACAAAATTTAAATTGCAGTTAACTCCTTATGTCTGCCTTCCCAGCTAACGTCTATACTTACACAGAAAGTCTGTAAAATCAGCACCTAAAAAAAAGGATTAATATTCCATATTAGACACACAAATGTTCAGAGAACGTACACATTCATATTATTGCTTTATACAGCATCTTACAACCCAGCATGGCAAGTTATCCACTGACAGCTAAAAGTATCCAGCCATCACCAGTGCTCCACATCATTTCCTTCTATCTGACATCACTTCCTGTGTAGCCCTGACACTCCCCCCTTTGGCAAAATTTCCTCAAGTCCTAAATTTCCTTCTGGACAAACAAACAAACAAACTAACTAACTATCTCTCTATCTATCTCTCTATCTGGCCGGGCCGTGGCGGATACCTCGTTGCCTCTTGCAGATCATGCCGTAGGTACGGTTCTTGCAGGAGCCCGGCTTCCACAGGCCTGTGTTGCTCTGGATCCAGAAGCAGCTCTTGACAGACAGCATGCTCAGGTTGGCCTCCTGCACCTCCCAGTTAGTAAACTGCACCACAGAGCTCTCTGGCCACAGCAGTCCGCCTCCTGCAGGCCACAGGAAGGGCAAAAGCATTCGGTGGCAGCGAGAATCATTTGTAAACCATAAGGGGCACTGGATGCACTGTTTAGCATAGTTAATGTATCTGCATACTTAAAATAAATCTTTGTGGTGCACAATTGAGGTCATGTGACTCGGGGTATACAAGGATCTTTCTCGGTCCCAGTTTCTTGCTAACTAAGCCATAGTCATCCTAAAAGATTTGTCCTATATTAAAAAAAAAAAAACTGTACAAGTGCATCTCTCTTAATGTATAAAAATTCCCATGGAAGTTATAATCCATCACCTTGGGCTCATGGGGATTTTCGTGCTCCATGCTGGGTAACAAGTTTTTCTGTTTTTAAATCACCTTTCTGGCATTCTGCGGTGGCCCCGTACGAACGTGACGGCCGCACCGAGACGCTACTGGCCATTTATTTAAACGAGGTTCCGGGAGTGGGGGAGGCGTCCGCTCCTTACGGCCCCCCCCAGGCTCACCCTTGGTGTTGACGCTGATGCCCAGCCAAGCTCCGCTGGCCTGCTCCTGGTAAGCCTGGATGTGCTCCCACACAAAGCTGTTCTCCGTCTCGTCCAGGATGGAGAGCATCTGAGCGCCCACTGGGAAAGTGAGCAAGTCAAGTAAAGTTCAAACTTTGGCATTTCAGAAAATGCAGCCGTGCAATGAGCAGAACTTTAAGGATGGCTTTACACAGCAAAGGATGGACGGGGGGAGTGCAGCAACAACCCAAAATGCTGGTGGGTAAGCGCGGTGTTGCACTGCACGGCACTGTATGGCACTGCATGACACGGCACTGCACTCACCCTTTCTGCACGTGTCATGGGCCTCCTGGTGCATCATGAGCCTCTCCAGGTTGAAGGAGTAACAGTTGTTGCGGAAAGCTACCCAGTCCCAATTTCCGAGCGCCTGCGGACAATGTCCTGAGTAACTCCACTCGTGGTCACGCGGCGGTCCTGGAGGTCAGGGAGAACACAGGTGTACCTCTTGGGCGCGCGTGTGCGCACACACACACACACACACACACACACAATTTTAGTGAGAAGATAGAAACCAAAAGTCACCTGTGTTGAACTGACAGATGGCGTACATCTTTGTGCTACAAGGCACTACAGCCCACCGGCCCATGGTGGTCACATGACCACACCCTACTATGGTACTGGGCTCCCCATCCCACCAATCAGTGTAAGTCAAGGAGTCCGCGCCCAACCAGGTGAAGCTCCGTCTCTGGCACAAAAAATGGGGGAAAACAACCATTCAGATGAGGGGACTTCATTCCGATTTTCCGTCACAAGCATCGGATACTGATGCAACTGCCCGCAATCGCTTGTCTCAAACGTGCGGTCCTTGCGAAAGCACCGCGGCGGCTTCTGTCGGCAGAGCCGATTCCAGCGGCCGGCATCCCCGCCCCCAGGCTCCCCCCGCCCCCAGGTTCACCCCGCCCCCAGGCTCACCCCGCCCCCAGGTTCACCCCGCCCCCAGGCTCACCCCGCCCCCAGGTTCACCCCGCCCCCAGGCTCACCCCACCCCCAGGTTCACCCCGCCCCCAGGCTCACCCCGTTGTTGTACAGGCCGATCCAGGCGGGCCGCTCCAGGATGCCCATAATCATGGTGAGGTAGGCCGCTTGGTAGGGGTCGTATATTGTGGCCAGGCTGGCATTCCGGGAGTTGCACGTGTGCAGCGCCCCCGCCCAGTCGTAGCGCTGGTTCAGTATCTGGTAAGACTGGTCCCTGAACTGTAGCGGCGCAGTCAAATCCGGCAGGCTGTCAGGCGACGCGGGCAACGTGGGGTCTAAGCCGAAACGGAGGTTAGCAGTTAGCCGGTCTCCCACCGCGGTCGGCCGGGACGTCCAGCTACACGGAGATTAGCGCCACATCCCAGCCGTGCGCGGTTCACTTTGATTAAATCCAAATCAAAGTTTATTTATCAAATGCACGACAGCACGGCACTCAGCGGTACATGCAGGCAATGAAATGAGTCTCCCTGAGAGCTCCCAATAGAAAAGTAATAAGTGGGAAAAGCAAACACCGGTTTCCCCTGCTATCCGAAAATGGAGCATCTCTATGAAACCTTCCGTAAGCCGATATGGCGTAAAAGCGAAGAAGCAATTACCATTCATTTACTGTATATGGGAAAATGTCAGTTCCCAAGCCCAAAAATAAGCTACCAAATCATACCAAATAACATATAAAACCTAAAATAACGCTAAGATACGGTACAAGCGGGAATAATACGATACTCAGCTTACATCAAGTAGAAATAATGTACGTACAGCGTAGTTCCACTTACTAGAATCAACACAGTCATGCGTCACAAGAGAGAAATGCATCCTTAGGCAATTCCGTCTTTGTGAGGACATCAGAGTACTTACACAAACCTAGATGGTGTAGCATACTACGCACCTAGGCTAAATGGTATAGCCTAAGTAACAACAAAAAGTACAGCAAATATAAACCAATAACATCATTTAACACATTTTGTTATCATTATCAAGTACTATGTACTGCACATAATTGTATGAGCTACATTTCGATATGACTGGCAGCGCAGGAGGTGAGAAATGTGCAGCATTATAGCGTTACGACGGCTACGACGTCACATGGCAATAGGAATTTTTCAGCTCCAATATAATCTTATGGGCCCTCCATCATATATGCGGTTCTCCGTCGACCGAAATGTCGTTAGGCGGCGCATGACTGCATATCTATAATTTTCTCACTAATAAACAAACGCTAAATGCTAAATTTTCACTTTTCTTCTGTTTTTGCAAAAGCAAAAATCCTCCTCGGATTCCTTTCCAATGGCGAAAACAGGCGCTGATGTAGGTCTTTCGTAGAAGCGAAGTAGCGTAAAGCGAACGTTTTTAACGCGGGTGATACCTGTCAATGAACTGAACAGGTGTCCACGCTAAAAGCCTGATTAGCTATTGACTTGCCTCACTGCCCGAGGATGGAAGCTCTGTTTATCTGTGAGCCACGGCTCTGATACTGGTTTCCTGGTGACAGGAGTCTTCAATAAAATGTTCAGACCATTGAAAATGTTCAATGGTCTCAGGCACTGCCTGCTTAAAAGCAGGCAGTGCCTGAGACCAGAGGTGGAAAGTTCCGGTCCAGAAAGTACAAATCCAGACCGAGGTTTTGTTTCAGCCAACCAGCTGAGACCTCTGTGACGGTGACTCTTTACACGTAATCGGTTGGTTGAAACAAAACCTTGGTCTGGATTTGTACTTTCTGGACCGGAACTTTCCACCTCTGCCAAAGACTACAATCACGGCCTGTGTGCACGTCTCGTACCTTTCCGTCTCTGGCACACGTAGCCGTGCTTCTCCGCCTCACATCCCCGGGACGCCCACATGCCCGTCATCTTGTCCGGGTTTCCGTGCAGCACGGCCACGCAGTTCACCTGCAGCGAGCCACGTGACATCACTGTTACTCCGCGGCGCCCCATGTCAGCGTCATGGTTGAATTACTACTACGGTTCTCTCTATTACCAGAGGTGGACATTTCAGGTCCAGAAAGTAAAAGCTCAGAACAAGATTTTGCTTCAACCGACAGCTTAGTATAAAGAATTGTAGTCAACGGAGTACTGAACTGGTTGCTTGAAATCAAATCTTGGTCTGGGATTTTTACTTTCTGGTTCTATAATGTCCACTCACTTGTGAAACGGCAGTTTGATTATCTATCTGCCACTTATTTTGTTTATTCTTTTCACTAATATTAGATGAATGTCTTTATATTTGGTACACTTTTCAGGGACAGTCCTGCACACGCCCCAGCGATGCCCCAGGCCATCTGGCCCGGAAACCCAGCTGTCACATCACCGCCGAGGTCACAGCGACCTTTTGCACAGTTCACCCGTGAGGTCCCCGCGTCACCTTCCCCGTCAGGGCTCGGAGACACGAGGCAGGAGGAGGCCGGTGGGGAGCGGGAGGGGCGGTTGACATATAGAGTATGGAGGGGGCAGCGTACCCGGGTCTTAGTGAGCAGTGGGTCTCGGTGGGCCACAGGCTCCCCGGGGGCCCAGTTGGTGAAGCTCAGTGGGGTGCCGTCATGCCACTGGAAGCGCACGTCGATGTCTGAGAGGCCGACCCAGAGGCTGAAGCTGACGTTGGGCAGCAGAGTGGTCAGGAAAGCTGTGGGGACACAGGACACAGCGGGCGGATGTCGAGTCAACAAGCGTCTCCCAAGCCGGTCCTCGGGACACGCAGCAGGGAGCTGAGAGGGAGCAAAAACGTGGGCTGACTGTGGGCCGACTGTGGGCCCCCGAGGACTGGATTAGGAAACACTGGTTTAAATGGCCAGCTTTAATGGTCCAGGTAGCATGTAGCTTATTCCTAATGAATCCAGGTATTAATTTATTAAGAATATGACGTGTTAAAAAATGCAGGAGAGGAACTGGAAGCAAGCTCACAAAAAATAAACTAATGGGAACTGATTTGACTTTTCTTTGAATCCTTGGATCTGTTAGCCCATCAATGCACCCAGTTTATCAGCTTGATTTATAAAAAACTCACTTCAAAAACAAATGACATCTATGACATCTAAAAAAAAAAAGAAAAGGTGAAGCTGAGTATGTTTGTCCTGAGCCGCATCTAGCAGACTCGGTTTCTGATTTTCAGGGTCGGAATCGAGAAACAATCATCGTCTCTAGACCGCATTGACAGCAGCCCGCCGCACTCACAGCACCCCCTGTGTCACCCCCACAGGCGTGGCTAAAGATTCTGGGCCCACTGACAAAATGTCACCTTGGGGCCACCACTAGGGTTACCGCTTTCAATCTGAAGAAATACAGGTCCCCCACAGTAAAGCCTGTTTGGTGGATGGGGAGAGTTCCCTACAGTTGAATTTGCTAAGCATTTCCTGAGCATATAAATTAGAATTTCACGTATGCAGGGCCCCTGTCAATTGCTGGGTTACCCCCATGACACTGCGGTAGCTGTTTGCTCTTGTCCATCCTAAAATCGCTAGGTAGCTACTTCAGGTTGCTGGATATCCTAAATATTAATCACACTCATGGACAAAACAGGGGTCGGTTTGTGCTCCAGGCATAGAATCGTGACTCGTCTTTAGACGTCTGGTTCTTCCTTCTCTCTCCAGGCCAGAAACAAGTTAGTTACCAAATTTACTTTATCTTTCCATCGCTTGTAGCTGCCAGACGCCTTGTGCCTGATGCTGCCTGAGACAGACTCCACCCCCCCACCCCCAACCCCCGTACCAGAAAAAAACGACTGAAACATTGAATTTGTATCTTTCCCTCCCGCGAATAATTTCCCATAATTGATATTATTTTTGAATACTGACAGAATGAAACGTCTCCACACTTTTAAATGCTCATGGATAGTTTGACGCGGCCTTGCCGAGCCTGTCATCCGCCTTTCCTGACAACTCTGCACCTCGTCTAAAAAAAATGCCCAGACTGACTGACAGGGTTAATTTTAAGTTTATGCTGCTTGGACTAATGGTGTAAAGATTCAGACTCAGTCTCGGGAAGGTGGGGGCAGCGGCGGGAGACCGTACAGCTGATGAGATTTCTTTGCAGATGTATTTTTCTAGTCACCCCCCCCCCTCTATGTCTTCAATATGAAAAATTCACAAGTCTTCTATCTTCACTCATACTGGGAATGAAACCCTGTGTTTGAACCCCCAGTTCTCCAAGCGGAGAGCATCACACAGACCACCACTAACTACACTTAGTGAAAAACCTAAATAATTGATGCGGAGTTTCTGGCATACAAAGATGTTACTGCTCTGTTCCTACGCCTGAGAACCACTTCTCCCTCTTCTTCATCCAATCAGAGCTTCCATGAGCTCTAGATGCCCATGCTGGGTCTAATGCTCTCTGCCATGATGTGCATTCCACAGAATGTTTGTCTGTGAGTATAAGAGCACCAGCAAATGAGAAGCACTGAGACGTGCAGAAGAATCAGGGGCAGCTCTTCAGTACCTTGCTCCACGTGGTCGGACAGCACCGCCAAACTGCCGGCCTGGGCTTCGCACTGCGCCTTGGCGCCTGCCCACGTCACCCGCTGGGAATCCCGGTGCCCAAACACCTTGAAACACTGCAGAGACACAGACGTTGTTAGGGGAATTCTGCTCCATAGTGAGGTCTCTGATATAAGCTCTACAGAATCCCCCCCCCGAGAGACAGCCATAGCAGCCGTAGCTGCCAGCTAAGATCCCCCCAGGAGAGCGGCAGCGGACAGATGGGTACCTTCCCGAATAGGGGAGCCCATCCGCCTGGACAGCCGCCGGTTAGGGCAGGTGAATGCGGGGTGGGTGGAGGAATACCGGTGACATTCACTCTCTTGCAGATGTAGGGCAGGTCTGTGGTGCATTTCTGGTCTCCCCATTCGTCTGTGGGTCAGAAGCGGACTGTGTGTGTAACTCCTCTCAGAGATATCCCATAATCCATCTGGGCAGCAGATGGAGTCCCACGACCAGCAGAAAAGTCATGCCTGTGGGTCTTAATCCCAAGAGCTACTCCAGGAGCCCCGGATATATCATATCATATCATATCATATCATATCATATCATATCATTGTAGGACTGTCTAACAGAAGAGTAGAATGGGATATGTGAAAATCCAAGGATTCCCATGTACTTGAAGAAATGAAATCTTTTTTAATTATAAGTCAATCATGAATCCTCCCCCCCCCAGCATGCATTCCTACCCCAGGATGCCATCTTACCTTTACTAGAGGTGATGTAGACGCATTTGCGATCGCGGCTGACGGGCCGCGGTCTCCCGGGGGCCCAGGAGACGTAGTTGAGCACCGAGTGGTCGGACCAACGGAAGCGGCCATCGTTCTCGTAGGTGTGAAGCCCCATCCACCAGTGCTGTCCCTCAACCTTGGACATCTGCCGGTGTTGCACGAGAAGAGCCGTTCACTGCGACGAGCGACACAAGTGACACAAGCGACACAAGCGGCAGCTGCCCTGCATAACGCATGTCTTCTGAGTGTTCCCCGTGCTTTGACACGGCTCAGAATAGTGCTTAGCTGGCTGAAAACATCCATTCTCCATATACACTTATGCAAGACAGGGTCACAGTGTGAAAATGGTCCATCAACAGTAGAGGAGAACGGCACAATCCATCAACGCAACATTCAGAGTCATGTAAACAGCCAATAGGTCAGTGTTCTGCAGCTTCAGCCAATGAGGTGCGGCTACAGCCACTGAGGTAATTCCTACATCTGGCGTCGGCCATTTTGAATCAGTGTCCAGGTGGAAAATATAAAATACCCAAACGAATGGGGTGAGACACAGCTGTGCAGTAATCAGCATGCAAGAAGTTCCAGTTGTGGTTGGTTTGCTTTTCACCAACCACAACTGAGTTTCACCAGACATCTGAGTAAACATGACACAGGTGACGGCCGCATCCCCAGAATGAGCGAGAGCGCGCAGACGGTGTCGGGGGGGAGGGGCACCTTGCGCAGCGTCTGCGTGAGGAAGGCCTGCTCCTCTGGCGTGTGCACGGAAGCCAGAGAGGCGTCCAGCCAGGAGCAGATCCGCAGGGCCTGGAACCAGGTGGAGCGGTGGTCGAAGAACTTGTACTCTGCCTCCTGAAACTGCACCCACTGCTTCAGGCTGGTCTCTGCTCATGGACGCAAGACGGACACGGTCAAGAAGCCTGCAGATCGGCGTCGCAGGATATCTTAAGTAATGGTGGTGATGCGTTACTTCAGACTGACCTTCCTCCGGCTCCTTGACAACGGTTCCTGAGGACAGAGACAGATGGTTACGGTTTCTGCATAGTCCGTACACCAAGAGCCCTGCTAACGTCGCATGCACGTGTGTCTCACAGACTGGGCAGCAGATGGTATGTGGTTAAACTGGGATTCTGGCTGCCTGTGGGATGGGATGTGTTCCTGTCCACAGGTCCCTATTTGGATCTGAGTAATACCCATAATGCTCAGGGGTGGTGTGACGCAATACCTTTAGGCATCTTGCAGATCCAGTCCAGCTGCGACTCGCACTGCATCGTCATCCACTGCATGGAACCCAGGTCGATCATGGCGCAGTCGTGCATGTTTCCCTCATATAAGTCATGCATGCCAAAGTTGTGGTAAGCATACTGCAGGAGGAAATATAGCGGGGGTTAGGGGGCGCTAGTGAGCACGTGGTTCAATTGGACTCCTTTCTTAAGGAAATAAATATGTGTTCAGTGGGGATGAAACAGCATCCGCCCCGGGTGGATAAACGTCCTCAGCGGCTGATCGAGCAGCTCACCCCCAACCCGTCACTCCACTTCCAGCTGCCGCCGTCTTCTGGGTTCCGGCGGTTCAGCCCAAGCCACAGCCAATGTTGCTCGTGGTCCTCGGATTCCCTGCGGGGCCAGGTGACAAGTCTGGTGATGCAGAGCAGGACGGGCGGCCATAATGAACAGAAGGAGCCACCGGCGCGGGTCACCTACCCGAAGGTCTCGTGCAGCACCTGGGAGATAAACTGCTCCTCGTTGACGCCACCGACGCTGACCAGCTGTGCGCTTTGCTTCCGGCAGAACAGGTGAGCTTGCAGCCAGCTGAGTCTCTGCTCCAGCTGGGGGAAGTGGAACACCTGGGGGG